AAGTCCAGCTTCAGGTTACCATTCCATCTTGGTAAGCTGTTTGACAATTATTTCAGTTATCGTAGACAAGTATAACGAATACAGTTTAGATCCTTCAGTTACATATGTTACGTTAGCAATCTCAAAATATCTATATGAGCATTCTAGGGCTTTATCTGCTGCTTCTACATAAGGAGTATTTATTGGTTGGGTGACCAATAAATCTTTTTCTCCTACTACACATATCAATTTTTCATCAACAATGAATTTAACTTTTTGATGTAATGATGATGGAACAACACCTGTCATATGAATCCATGGTCTACCCAATAAATAATTATATGAAAGAGAAATATCCATAACTTAGAATTTTACATTGAAAGTGCATGGATCAATCTGTAATGGCACTTCTATATCTTTCAATACCTCTCTTCTAGTTCTATCAAAGGCTCTCACTATCATATAACTAGGTTTCATATAAGATTCATCAACAGAAAGTTTTACTAGAGTAGTCATAGGCATAACATTGATGGATGAGCCATTATCAATCAAAACCTTAGCCATTATATGACCTTTACATTTCATAATAATGTGAAGAACCTTGGTACTTTCTCTACCTTCAGGAGGAATCTTTTCATCACTAAAGGAGATATAGTTTGAAATCGTCAGATTGCCAACAAGCTGTTCCACATATTCAACAGAAGCATTGTGAGACACATATGCTTGATTTAGCACCTTCAGCAAAGCATTACGATATAACTCTGAACTGAACAATAATAACAATAACGAAATTCTAGCTAGCATCTTGTTAAGCTATTCTACCACGCTATACTCGCTATGTTTTATTGACTTTAGAAATTCACATGCTTTACTCTCAGATATTGGCTTCTAGCATTTTTTTTTTGGGCTGCGTCAAGATCACTCTGACTTTCATTTTCTTCTCCTACCTTGGCTTTTTTCTTTTTAGCTTTTTCTAGAGCCTCTGGGGTATAACACCTTCCACTTCGAGTTATGCCTCCTATACCCTTTATGTTGGCAGTATCTGGGTTGACTACGACATCATAATCATACTTTTAAGGTACTGTTTTATCATTCTGATATGAAAAAGGGCCAAAAACTTTAATTGTCATCACTGGTCGAGAGATGAACTTTTCTAGCTTCGATGTTGACTTCTTATCATAATAGATAGTTATTGGTCTACGTACAAACTTATTATTTGAATCAATGGTAGACACTTTAGCTTTCACCAGCTCTTCTCTCTCTTAGTAAAACTCTATTCGACCTTCATCCATTAATTTTTGTACCTCTTGACGGAATTGGTGACAATTCTCGATAGAATATCCCAAAACATCTCTGTGATAATTGCAACTTTCAGTTGAGTTAATTACTTTAGAGTAATTTTGAGGTTCTATTGGCTTCAACATGTCAGCTTTGACTAATACTTCGAACACCTTAGCCATCGGAGTCTTAACTTCATTTATTTTTTTTTCATGTGGGTTTTTTTTCCATCAATTAAGGCATTTATTGATGGTCTGGTATGATTTGGTATAGGGTTTCCATTGACATTTGGAGTCCCTTGTTGGTTGGTATCAAAATTTAATACTCTTTCATTGATTAACCCTTGCATTTTACGCTTCAAAGCAGTACAACAATGATTTAAAAACATTAGTCATTTATAATATTGCATAAAATATGATAATTTAAGATCACTGGTAATCATATTACTTTGGTGATTTTATCATTATGATAATTAGATCATTGTAGTAATCTTAAAAATTATACCAAACACTATTTAAAAGGAAACTTTCATTTTTTTTCTTTCCAATTAATGGATAGTCTCTTATGAAATTGATAAGAAAGGTCTAACTTTTAAGTTTAAATTTTTTATGTTAAATTTCTTTATAATTATAGAGAACTTATGATTGTATTACAATATATATTTAGGGTTAAACTTCTTTATGTTATTAAAGCTTGGATTTAGGTTATATCTATCTTTTTTAAAATAGTAATTGTTAGATCAAATTTTAGGTATTGAATGAAAAATTAAAAAAAAAATTGAGGGTAACTATATAGAAGTTTGATAAATATTAAAAGATTATTTTATATATCAGCGATGAAATAATATAAAACTTTTATTATTATAAAAGAATACTAACTGAAATATTAGGTAATTTAAGAGCAAAAGTGTATAAATTATGGTGTTCAAAATTATAGACAAAATTTATATGAATTTTTTTAAGTGAAATTTCTTCTTAAAAAATTATTTAATAAAAAAAATTCCAACTAATAAATTGATAAAATTCAATATGAAAATCAATAATATGTAAAAAAATTAAAAAAATTATTTATAATTCAAATTTGATCGATAATTATTAAATGATAAAAATTTTGTTAATATTTTTATTAAAAATATTTATCCAAAAAATATATCAAAATACATTAAATTTTTTTTTTAAATTTTACATATTTGATCTATGTAACATAATTTTTTAATTTATCGATTTTGATTTTCAATTTTAGTTTTTATTTAATTATTTCTTATAAAAAATTCTCAAACTTTACAAATTTTACTTAAAAAACTTAATCTGAGTTTTTCCCTCAAAACCATTCTAAAACATCATTTTAAGCGTAACTTATTAGTTCCAAACAATATCTATATTTTTCCAATAGATGTTAATCTTAATATATTAACCCATTTTTGAAGTTGATAATTGTTTTCCATTCTTAGCTCATTTTTTTTTTGTGAAAAATAAAAAATATTTAGTGGATTAGATTGATAAGCAAGTTAACATTTATATGTTTAGAAATTTATAGATGGAGAATTGGACTGATAAACAAACAAAATTAGACATAAGATCAACCAAAATTATTATAGCACTTAATAAGCCTTTATAAAACAACATGTCGCCTACCAAATCCCAAAATTTCAATTACAAGCCAAAACCCATTCAATTTGATGAATTTTGGATATCAACATTTGATTTGATCATATTGAGATTAAATTTTTTTTTATTTAAAAGGACAATGCTTTATTTGTGGTGATTTTTAATGTAAAGAAGTAGGAATTTTTTATTGAAAAATTAATTAAGTATAAAAGAAACAAAAAGAAAATTCAAATTGAATGGGAGAAAATATAGCTTATGCTGAATAATTTTCTTTAATTTCTTTTTCTTTTATATCAACATCAATCTTATGTATTCTCCCTAGTCCACCTTGGACCGATAGTAAAATATTATCACATAATTTCATCCACTAAAAGTTTTAATGCTGATATCATTTTACTTTGAATATTCTTCTACTATTTATAACCCTATATTATATATTTGACAAATGAATAAAAAAAAAATCTTAGTTTAAAATAATAAAGAAAAAGAATTGCTTCTATACTTTGAGATTTGCCAAAAAGGGTAAATTACAAAAATGTCTATAAAGTTATATGAAAAAAAATGCAATTATGTATTCTATAGTTGTATTTTCACATGACCCTAAAATTGTAAATTTGTGTTGTCAATTTTCATATACCTACCTCTCCAATGCAAATAGAACAAAATAAACTCTCTCATTTATGGAGTTAGTTGTATATATCTATTTCTTTTACCATACGAGGAAATATTTATGTTTTTATTTAACTTCATGTAATTTTTTTTATTTATTGAAAAAATAAAAAAATAAATAAAGTAGAATCAATTTTTCATCAACTATTAATTTGAAAATAAAAATTCGAAGTTAATGGTGCTATTTAATATTACCATACAAAGTAATTTTTTATCTAATATATTAGAAATCCTTAATAAAATTATTAACTACTCCACTCATCTCATTTACAATATTTTATTTGCTTATTTTTAGTTGTCAAAAAAATATTTTTATTTTTATTGCTCTTAATTATTTTTTAATATTTTTTAAGTAATTCGATGAATTTTTTTTTATAATATTAAAATTCAATTAAAAATTTTTTAAGCTTTACAAAAATAAAAAATATTATGAGACAAAAAATATTACTTTTTTTAAAACTATCATTGTAAATAATATATGAAAAATTATTTGATATATTAATAATAAAATTTTTAAATTTTACAAATAAAATTAAAACAATAATACATATTTTACTTTTTCAATTAATTTTTTAAATATATAATTAAAATGTATTAACATTTTAATCCTACTTATATAATTTAAAATTTTCACCATCAATGTAATTAATAATTTCTAATAATATATTATTAACTAACTTTAAAAATGCCTAAGACCACAGTTAGTAAAACTTTTTTAATTTTGTTTTCTATTTCTTAAAACATATGATCCAGATCTGGCAGTTGGATCCATTTGAACTGTCCAAGAATCTGACGTCCTCGAGTTGGACCCACTCATCTTCACTATGTTCTCAACGTGGCACTGTGAACCCACTCCCACTTATTCTAAAACTCCAAGTACTAACACACCAAACAAACCCAAAATGCAAATCCCCACCGTCCATTTCCTTTTAAAAAAATCAAACGTACGTCATATTTACCAATTGAACTACCAGAATCACCGCTATCAAGTTACACAATCTCCATGCCCTGACCATTCTTAACGGAAACAGAATATCAAAGAAAAATAAGGATGAAAAGGTAAACTTGAAAATACCGAAAATGACCCAACCTTGACACTTTTTAAATCCCAATGCTTCCCGTATCTGAACAAAAATCTCTTTCGTTTTATCCTTTTTCGTCATTTCACTTCCGTTTATCACCAAGTTTCCACCATTTTTTTCTTCTTCTGTAACGTCAAATAAAAAATTTAATATCAGCTCAAAAAAGGAAAAATTTGATCATAAAATTAAAAAGAAAAAGAGATTTTGTCTGCATTCAGGAAGTCTCGTTGGTTGGGTTTTAATATTTCCACTCAAAGAGGAGGTTTTTTTCTTTTCTTTCCTGCTTGGTAATTGCATGATAAACGAGGCAGAGGCTTCTTTTCGAGGTAAGCTGGAAATTTTAATAAAGCTTTACTTTTATGTGTCGCTATTATTTTGTTTCCATTTATTGTTTGATTTTCTTTTTGTTTTTGTTTTTTAAAATCTAAAAAAGGAAATTTCATAGTTGGTTGTTCAAAATATTGCCATATAAATGAAGGTTAATGTATTTGCGTTGATATTATTTTTTTTTTTGGTTTAATAAAGTCATAGTTTTGAGAGTTTTTCTTTGTTATGTTCATCTTTGTTTCATTGGGGAGCTAAAGGTTAGTGTTTTTCCAGTTTCTCATTAGTTTTTAAATTTTGTTGAAGAAAAACCGATGAAGTTTTCTTCATAAATTTTTTTTTTTTTGTGTCAATTTAACGTCTGTTTCTATAACTACTTCTACCTTCTATTCTGGGTTCCAGTTGCTTTTGCCCCTAATTTTCTTTTTGAATTTTAAGTAGTTACTAGTTTCTGTTTGTTTCTCGGGATACAGCTTCTGAGTTTTCTTCCTTTCCATTCCTGTTCCTTTTTTTAATAAAATTTTTCCTCAATACTCTGTTTCTGGGTTTGTTCATTCTTTTCGTTCTCTTTTGATTTTCCAGCAAAATCTGACGTCAATTTTAATTTTTTTTAATATCACAGGATTTTGCTTCGTATATTTAGAAATTGTGAACATTCAGTTGTCATATCGTTGCTGTTTACTTGAGATTTACGTAAACAAAAGAATGAAGAAGTGAAGAAGTTGAAAGAGTTGTACGATATCTCGTGAGTTTTTTGAGTGTTTTTTTATTAGGTACGTTAATTTCTCGTGCTATTTTTCTGGCTTGAAAATTTCTCGCTCAATTTAATAATAGATGTAGTATTTTTTATAGTTTTTGATTGATTTTTTTAAGCTTTTGGAGTTCGATGAAGTTATAGATATGGTTTTGTCAGAGTGTAATTGCGTAAGCAGGGTGTTCATAGATGTCCCACTTTGATTTTAATACACAATTGGTATGTAGGGCCATGTTGAATCTTTTTAATATCTGAAAACTGTTCATTTTGACCATTGATTTTAACATTCTTTTAATCTATTTTGTATTTTTATAGAAAATTATTATTTTTAAATATATCTTATAATTTTTATATTTATATCATATTTATTTTATATTAAATATATATAAAATATAAAAATTATTATGATATAATTTATGAAAAAATATATATTTGTCAAATATAGACTATTTTTATTAAAATTTTAAATAATATGATTTTATGTTTTATTACCTTTTATCATGTATAAAATTATCAAATTAGTTATCAGATATACTAATATTCTAATTATTAATAATATTTTTTATTTGAAGTAGATGACATTATTTTTTAGTGTAAAATCATGAACTAATCATTGAATCTACATATGCAACGTTGTTACTTATTAATAATGTTTATATCATAGTAACCATGTAATTCTAATTTGTTTTTGGTTTGAGTGGAAATCAGAAAAAAATATTTGTTTTTTTTTACAAATATTGTGGTATACTTTTTGTTTCTTTTGAGGAGTTAGACTGTAATATGTAGTAAGTATAGTTTTAATGGATGTTTAAACATGCACAAACATGTTGATTTTGATATAATATTTGCACATGTAATTCCCACCAAAGCTGAAACTAGTTTTAGATTTAGCCCACTAGGACAAATTGGCAAAGCGCTGCAGGTTTAAGACAATTAAGGCACGAATCTCCAATGTGTTGCAGAAATCCAACGGATGTTTGAAGCTGCTGCACTGCCGAAAACAACTTTTCAGTGCATCGTTGGAGGGCAATTTTTTTTTTATATATTGACATGATCGATGAGTACTATAAAAGTGATGATGACAAATACTACAAAAAGATAAAGTCATTGCATTACAGTGCACTCATTGGATAGCCACGTGAATATGTAAAGCTCATGAATATGCAGTAATCGATGCATAACATATTTTCACTTTGGTGGGTCCCCAAACCCCAATAAAGTAACCCACCTACTCTATTAGGGAGGGTTTTTTAGGATGTGAATGCTTAGACCCGGAAGAATCCAATGAGGTTTTTTCCTTTTTAATTTTCCACTTTTCTGGTTTTTTTTTTTTTTTTTAATTTTACTAATTTGAGGAAAAATGGTTCATTGATTGTGGTTGGAGGCGAGAAGGGTATTGGGCTTTTAATGTTGTGGGGCCAAATATATCCAGGTGTGAAAAAACATGTGGAACAATGTTGGAAATTTTAAGTGGTTCATGGAGGCTGTTATCAATTTTACTGGTGTGAAACAAAAATATCATGTATGGTTGTTGTGTTTCTCATGTATCTTATAAATATACATCACATCTTGGTTTGGATTTGTGGTAAAATTTTAAGTGTTCATTACCCTTTTGTAGGAACTTTTTTATGGTACGTTTCTAGATCATCTACTAATTTCTATACTTTTACCTTTTGGATTTAATGCTTTGGCCTTTTCTCTCTTAGCAAAATGCTTTTCATACTAAATACCTTTCTCCTGCATTATTTTTTCTTGGAAATCTCTTGGACATTTTCGGAGTCTTTCATGTGGTTGAACCTGACTTGGTCTGTATTCAAAGAAGTTGCAATTCTTCAAAGTATAATTCCAGGAAAAAGACATGAAAGTTGTAGGGAAATTCTGCCAAAACAGGATAGATTTCCAATCAAGCATTAAAAAATCAGCATGGAATGTATTTATTTATTTGCTCATTGTCTCCTTGCGGTTGGATATCCGTTTTATTTTTGGCAAGTGGGTTGTTATGTAAAGATTATTGGTTGCATATTTTGACCTGATGTAAACTGTGCAACAGATATAGAAAAGGAATATTAGGCAGGTTTCTGAGATGTTTATTCCTATGCTTTCTCCATAGCTTGATTTCCAGCTTGCATAGAATATTATGCTCCAAATGAAGGTTCATAGTGTCGGAAAGACAAGCTTTTTGAACTTTGTGAATGTTAAACGTGTCTTTGGAGCATGTCATTGATCATTTTCATCCATTTTTCTCTTCTTCTTCTTGTTCTTCCTGTTCCTCTCAATTTGTCTCTTTTTTTTCCCCTACTTGTTAAAAAGTCTTCCCTTTTTTACTCTGTCAAAAGAAGGTTAATTAGAAACTCACAAAGGTGAAAGAGCTAACAAAAAGAAAATTCCATTCTCCATTAAATTCCTCGGTCTAAGTGTTAAAGCATTTTACTTTTTTCTCTTTTCATTAACACACTCATCATCGTCATTATCACCCTAGATCTTTATTGCCTCCCTATCTCTCCTTTATTCATTCTTTTGTTTACTTATTTGGTGTCCCTTAAAGTTGATTGAAGAAATTCTCTTATAGACTTATAGCTGTTGTCATCATTTCTGATACCTTGCAGATGGAAGCTGTGAAACCATCGGCTGTTACTCCATCAAAGAGTAAATGGGTTCGAACTTTATCGAAAGTTCTTCACCTGCACGCAGCTGCAGCTGGGATTGTCCCTGATGATGGGGTTCAGAAGGTTAAGTCTAACGAAACTGATGAATGGAATGACAGAAAGACCGCCAAGAGATTATCTCAGAAATTTGACAGATTACATGATGAAGAGCTTGAAAGAAAGGTGGCCTTGGAAGTGCTTATTGCAAAAATCTTTGCTACCGTTTCTGCTATTAAGGCTGGATATGCTCAGTTGCAGCATGCTCAATCGCCTTACGATGCTGAGGGGATTCAAGCTGCTGATCAATTGATAGTTTCTGACTTGAAGAAATTGTCAGAATTGAAGCAATGTTTCTTGAAGAAACAGTATGATCCTTCCCCAGAACATGCAATAATTTTAGCTGAAATTCAGGAACAAAAAAGTCTTTCAAAGACATTTGAAATTCTGGGAAAGAAATTGGAATCTCAGCTGAGACTCAAAGAGTCTGAGATCATTTTTCTTCGAGAAAAGTTGGATGAATCCCGTAAGCAAAACAGGTTACTGGAGAAGAGATTAAATCAAAGTGGTCAGTTATTTGTGCTCGACAATCTTCACCTGTCAAGCTTAAATCCTAGCAATTTTATTACTGTTCTTTGTCAAACTGTTAAGTCCATTAGAAGTTTTGTCAGGCTGATGATTGATGAAATGAAGTCTGCTGACTGGGATATCAAAGCAGCAGCTAGCTCAATAGAACGAGGTGTGGTTTATTGGAAAGCAGATGACAGATGTTTTGCATTTGAGTCCTTCATTTGCAGGGAAATGTTCAAGGCCTTCCACCATCCTTACTTCTTTCTTCTTGGTAACTCTGTACCTGAAGGGAAGAAACATCCACAAGTCTTTTTTGAGAGATTTATGGAACTGAAATCCGTGAAAGTTAAGGAATATCTAGCCAAGAAACCTAAGTCAACATTTGCCAAATTTTGCCGGACCAAGTACTTGCAAGTTGTTCATCCTAAGATGGAATCCTCTTTTTTTGGTAATTTGAGCAGCAGAGACATGGTGAGTTCCTATCAGTTTCCAGACACTACCTTTTTCACTGTATTTGCTGAAGTGGCGAAGCGGATCTGGCTTCTGCACTGCTTAGCCTTTGCTTTTGAGCCAGAGGCATCGATCTTTCAAATAAACAAAGGGTGTAGATTTTCTGAAGTATACATGGAAAGTGTAGCTGAGGAAATATTCCTTTCGTCGGATATTACACTAGAATCAGAACCACGGGTGGCATTTACCGTTGTTCCTGGATTCAGGATTGGTAAAACTGTAATCCAGTGCCAGGTCTATCTCGCTCGGTTCAAATAAAGGTAAACCTGTTGATCCTCTGTTAGTCACAAGAGAATTTGTTTATTTGGACCCACAACATAGTAGATTGAACTGGATGCCATTCTCTTGCCTCTTTTTTAGTAAATTAGATTAGGGAAATGGGATGCTGGGATTTGAAACATGGTTACCTGGGCAATTTGTCTCCTTGTTTTGTGGCCTTAATGATAAAGACAGGCTCATTGACAGTAATTTATTTGTAAGACACATCCCCCAATTTTGTTAATATTAGGCCCTTGTATGTTTTAGCTGTTTTGCATTATTGCCGTATTATGAAGCTTTTATATATATATATAGTTAGTGGTTGGAAACTTTTTATATTCATCATCTGTATGTATGGGTATTGCTTTGAGTGCCATGCCATGAATTGCCAGAAGGTTCTCTATCTTTTTGTCTCTATGCTGTATTGATGCCCATCAAAATCTCTGGTTCACTTCTTTTTAGGCTTTACTAATAAGCGTAAATGAGCATTTAACTTGATAATCGAGCATTTGACTTGATAATCATATGCATGTTTATCTTTGTTTAAGGACTTGGGTTCGAATCTTTTTTGTTTTAATAAATAAAAAAAGGCTTTATTAAGAAACTGGTTGTTCTTTGTGCCCTCAGCTCTTTTACACTAATTTGAGTTGAGCCTGAAATGCAATTATTCAAAACTATATAAGTCCATTACTTCCGTCTCTGGAAGCTTTGAAGAAATAAAAAGCCTTTTAGATATCATCAAAAACGTGTATTGGAATGCAAAAACACCAACTTTTGGTGGAAAAAAGAAATATTATAATAATTGTCTGGGTAGCAATAAAATAATTTATAATTCAATGTGGTCGGTCCTGGATGACAGCAACATTTCCCAATTCTGCTCAAGCATCCGATTGTTTTCTGTCCCCTGACAGTTAGGATCTGTCTGAAGATGAAAAATAAGAAAAAAAAAAAAAAGAATCTGATCAAATTCAGAATCTCAATTTCAAAATGAAATGGAACCACGTAAGATTTGGAGGACTGAATAAATTGTACAGTTGTGGCATTAATATTGGGAAAGCATTGAACTGGGTTAGGCATCTTTCTATGAGGAAGTTGATTTTTGTGGTCCTGTATTTTTTTTAATGATCAGCCACGTGGTTTTCGGTTCATGCATGGGTGGTTTTTGTCATCAGTTTTTTTTTTTTTTTTAATTTTATTTTAGTTTTGGGTCTCCAAGCGATTTGGAGGATTGGGTTTTAGAAGATTGTATGGTATTCACACAGGTAGCAAAGGTTGGTTTTAAATCATAATCAACAAAAGTTTTAGTTTGATAGGGTCCATGAGAGAAGTTGCTTGGGATTTGGTGGAAAATTTGTTACCTACTTATGTCCTTGGATTCTTCTGTTTATTGTGAAGTGACATTGAAACATAAAAAAAAAAAAATTGTAGAATGTGAGAACAAACAATGCTGCAAATTTATTCATGAATAGAGTACAATTTATAAGCAGAACAGTTGAGAAATTTCAACCATCCATGACAATAATTTCCTCCTAAAAAATAGACTAATATCTACTCTTAGTGGATCATGATGTCCTTCTAAAAAATCTCTAACAGCCTTAATTTTTCCAAGTCTAAATGAACTCTAGAAGATATAAATGCATCAATTTAACAATCCCCTTGATGTTTGCTTTCGATTTACTAAGCCAAAAGCTTCACCAAAGAGCTCCAACTTTGGCTTTGTGAGTGCTTTGTGAAGACACCAGCAACCTGATCACTTGTTCCAATATTTTTCAATTCAAACTCTTGTTCAAGAACTTTCTCTCGAATGAAATGGTGTTGAACTTCTATGGGCTTTGTTTGAGCATGAAATACTAGATTTGATGCTAAGTTGATAGCACTTTGATTGTTACACTTCAAGCTAATGGGATACTCCACTTTCTATAAATGTCAGTTATCAATTATTTCAACCAAACTCCTTGTGCAGCCATTCTTGCTACACAATACTTTGCTTCGGTACTAGACAAAGCAATGTCTGCTTGCTTCTTGCTATACCGTGAAATTGCAGCAAATCCCATATCAAAAACAGTAGCTAGTTGTTGATCTTCTATGTTTGACATTACTTGCCCAATCAGAATCCACGAAGCCACTTAACAGAGTTTTCATTCTTTTTGTATGGTAACCCAAACTCGAGTGTTTTTCACGTATCTTAAAATTTTTTTTCCCTCGTCGAGACGAGGGACTTGAGGACATTTTATTAACTAAGAGATAACACCTACAGAAAATTAAAAATTCGGTCTTGTTATAGTTAAATAAATCAAACAGCCAACAAGTTAGGCAAAACTTGTGCACGTCCACCATTGATTTTCCTTTCATCTGTTTTTAACTCGGTATGTTGTTCCACAGGAGTCTCTTTTGGCTTTGCATATTTCATTGAAAAACGTTGCAATAAGGCTTGAGCATTTCTTTTTTGAGATAAGAATAAACCACCTTCCATTTCTTCAATCTCCAATAAAATATCCAACTTTTCCCAGATTCCTCACCTCAAATCGAATCCTTAAGTCATCACATAAAATCTTGATTTCAACATAATTATCTCCAATAATAATCATGTCATCAATATATAAAAGAATTGTTAGGGACATTTGATGGTAAAAAATAAAGTAAAGATGCTTAATCTTTTCAATTAATTATTTTATTTTTAATTAGTTTAATAAACTTAATTCATACAACAAATTAGAAATTAAATATACAAAACTATAAAATATTTGGAAAAATCTAAATTATTATTACAATGGATCCAAATTTGTAAAGCCCAATAAGGATCTATATTAGATCTTACACAATGATATCTACTACCTAGCCCAAACTTTGAAAGAAACAAAAGCAAAAAAATAACATGTCGCATCCGTCAACAACACCAACAAAATAGTGAAGAGGTGTCAATCCTAAATCAATAGAGATTCTTTTAATTAAAGCTATATTAATATAATATTATCTAATTATTTTTATATTTTAAGCTAAATAAATTAGTTTTACATTTGTCTCCATGGGAATTATAATTAATTTTGTTATTCTAGGGTAGGTTATTATAATAAAAATTTATATTTGATTCATTATAATGCATAAATTTTATACCTTACTTATACATCAACACTATCAACTTGTTAATGAAATTTTTTTAAAATATAAATACAGATTTTTTAATATAAAATAGCATAGATAAGGTATATAAAAAAATTTGGGATAGAGCAAGAAGAACAGTGTGTGTGTCAAAAACTACTTTTATATGACATCCAATAAAATAGTCATAATAGATTATAGTTTTCAGTTCAATAATTTTATATTTGGAGAAAAAAAAAAAGAAATTTGGAGCTGTAAAACCTACATGATTTGGTAGCAGCTGTTCTTTACTCATTTTTCATCTTTTCTTACTCTTCTAATTCAAATAACCTCCATTAAATTTATGTTCACCGTCTCATCATTCAAAATACATTTTCATTTACTATATAAAATTTTCTTTATTTTCATTAGGTTTCATAGAAGTTAAAATATATTTCGATCTTCTAAAGTTCATTCACTCTTTCTCATCATGAATGCTGTTGAAAATGTCTCCTGCAATGATTACGATTCTCTTTGCAACATTTGCGATAAAAAATGCAAATCTTTGAAGGATGCCATCGAGCACCAAAAGACATTTCACCAAAAGAAAGAAATCAAATACAAATGTGATCCCTGCGAACGTGGTTTTGCAAATAAACAGACAAAAATAGAACATCGGAACAATGGTCATTAACTCTAATATCTATTTTATATGCCCTTATTACTATTTTGATTAAAGCCTATAGCTGCTCATATATTTAGGATTAGTATGTTACTATTGGTAAAACCCATTACTGCTTCTATCTAAGATTAAGATGTTAATTTACTATTTAATTAGCCAACTAATTATAATAATTATTTACTTTCTCTGAATTATGTTTTAGTTTTATTTTTATGTACTTATTGTTCAAATAATGAATTATTGATGGACATTATTAATTTTATGTTTGTGTTTTTCTTGTTTTTATACTCTAAATAGTTTTAATTATGAAAATAGAATTGAAATTATAATATTTGAATTCTATAAAAAAAATGAAAACATCAAAAAACAAAAAGAAAATTTGAAGCAATCACTAAATTAAAAAAAATAACAAATAAGTAAAAGTTAAAAAGACAAACGAAAAACTTATAGTAATCTCCAAAACTAACTAATAATCATGAGTTTAACTAGTTTATTATGCCAAATTAGAGACATAATCAAACTGACGGTATTGGCTTAATTAAATTGATGCGGTGGCAGGATCCAAATGTAGGGAGGGAGGTCCTTATGTGAAAGTTTGAATTGGTAATGTTTTCCAAAGCTTCCATCTTTCAAATTGAAAACACCAATATCTTGAGGACCACATGGCTCGTATGCATTAACATCAATATAATCATCAGTGAAATATATAGAATTAGGCTGTCCTTGCGGAAAATCCAACGCTGCAACAGCTAAGGTCCCATTATCACCCACAAAAACCACATCTCCATCCATACTCTTTACCTCTTTCTTCTCTACCAATTCACCTGTTTCATCATCCAAAACCAACTTGAAAACCTCAAATTTCTCGGTCAAATAATCATCCTGTCCCTCGATCTCATCACCAGATTCGAGCTTCCTATGAATAGAGTATAGATTCCCTTTAGATGATTCAACTAGATATGCGCGGTCCGAATAAGCCTCTTAAGTCTGATATTGGATCTTGTGGCAAAACTGTCTTCAACTTTGGTGACTCCAAATCCTTGTCAAAACTACCATTAACATCAAATGACAGAATATTGTTTCTGTGTCCTATAACATAGACCAAATTTCTATAAAAAGCAATATCGGTCAAAAGCGTCAGATGCTCGTCGAAATATATCCAAGTTTTCTGCCAGGATTTGTAGAAAGCTAATCTGTTATATGCGCTATAGATTACCACAACAACGTAACTATCCGGATTGAATGAAGGGTCAGCTGATAACACAACCTTTTGAATGTCGTATTGGTAGCCCATAGGCTTTCTATTGGGAAATTCAAGCTCAGGGAGATCAATGCTAATGCAATCCTTAAAAAGGGTTTGAAAGGGTTATGACCATGTTCTCGTCCACAGTAGCTAACCAACCATAACAAGATCCGCAACTTCTTTTATTATAAGACTTTGGAAGCTCAATGCTGGAGACTTTTGTTTTGGCTTGTAGGCTATATAATTTCCGCTTTGTCTCGCTCCTTTTGGTTGGAATCAACAGCATGGGAACCAAATTCGGTAATGATTGCCTTTTCATGTCAAGAAAAGTATTGAACACTGAATGCCAATGCCTACTGACTGCACCAAATTGTACCAAGTTGCTCGGGGCATCTAATTTGTCGAGAACCTTAAAGAGACAGAGTTGTGGAAGATATTCCCAATCCGGTTCAAAATTTCCCATATGTTTGTCTTGAAAAAAAGTTGAAGAATATAAAGAATTTTTTATTAAACTATCTGGGAAAGTTTACAACGATAGAAAATCACTTAATTAGGTGAAGAAAAAGAAGTACAAAAGAGGGTTGCTGAGTTTTGTATTTGGTACATAAAGGGTATTTATAGGTAGCTTTTATTATTATTTTTTATTGTAAATCCAATTCCAATTAGAATGGAATTTAAGTGTTTGTATACAATTCGCATACAAACAAACTTTAAATTTCTACGTAATTGTAACTCAATTGTTGGTTAAATAACTTTAAACTTTTAGACATAATTGGCACTCAATTTTCGGTTTATTTAAATAAAGGAAAAGAGTGGTAAATTTGTTTGTTTATAGACCTTCCTACCAAAATTTCCGATGAT